CCGTGGTTTGGAGGAACTAAGGGCGGGCTTCGAGGGAGGATCAGTTTGTGAGGATGGGGAGTCTCATGAGGAAGGCGGAAGAACACCCTTGCTCTTCTCGAATCCGTGTCTTCTCAGACGAGACTCCCTAGGCACCTGGACATGGCCATAAGTGCACAAGTGACACAGTCCTGCAGCAGTTCATCAGTGGAGTGATGAACAAAACTGCTTTTGAAAAGTAAGTGGCCAGGGGAAGTACTTGAGCTTCCCTTATTGAAAACTCTTCTTGCAAACCATTCCGATGGGCTGTTTGGAGACCAGCCTGTACCAGATGCTTATGGTAAGGACCCAGTCACGTGAATTTAACTGAATTGCCCTCATGGAGGGCAGGTGGGATTTGGAAGCCAGAGAAGGGCAAGGAAGGGCTTTGGATATGATGGGCAGTGGGCAGAGGGATCAGGCACGCATGAGTGTGGATGCAGGAAAGGGCGTGAGCTCCAGGATGGGACATGCTTGTCTTTGAGATCCGGCTCTGCCCTTTAAGGGCTGTAAGACCCTGGACAGGTGTGGTAAACCCCCTCAGCCCCAGTCACATCCTCTCCAACAAGAAGATAATAGGACTCTATCCAAGTCAATTTGCCAAAAGTTGGTTTACTGAAAGCTAATTCTCTGAAAATCAATTTGCTAAAAGACCGATTAACTGAACAGATCTGAGCATTCCTTAAAACGCTGGATTCACAATGAAAACCAATCAACCAAAATGTTGCAGGCTTCTTTAAAAATCTGTTTAAACTTCCAACCCAATAAAGTTTGCTATAAAAATTACAATGAAAATGTTTTGATAAATTTGGCAAATTCGTCATTTAGCAATTGACTTCTGGTTAACTGGCCTGAGAGTGACAGTATATTTTGAATTGTTGTGAGGATTAAATAAAATAATGTGTGCAGCCCTTAGCAGAATTCCTGACACATGCGTAAGTGTTGGCTATTAATTATGATTATAACCTTTTAAGAAACCTTAGACAAGCAGTAATCATGGCCAATTGATTGCTACACTGGGGGTAGTACTATCGAATTCTGGGGTGGAAGTTGGGGGAGCCTGAATATTTTTGATATACATCTGCAGAAGTATGAACCCAACCGATTTGTCATCGCAAGTGATCACTCTTAACCATTACACATCAAATGTGGCCGTGAGGTTTTATGGGTTCATCCAAAGGAACCATGGGTTTTAAAAGGCTGAGAAAAACTGATATGGTCTGACTTCTTTATTTGAGGAAAGAGGGAACTGGGGCTAGAAGTGGGAAGAGGCCTGCCCAAAGTCCCACTGAAATTGTCGTTTGAAGAAAGGCATTTCAGGCTGCTGACACGAGGTAATTACTGAGGTCTGGGTTGTTGGGAGGATGTTGAGGAACATACTCACTCAGAAAGCTTGGATTCGAACCGGTGGATGGTCGAGGTGGAGAAGTGCATTTTCCTCATGACCTTGCTGCCCTCCTCCCTGAAGAAGCAACGTCCTATGAAAGGGTCTCTTGGGCTCAGGGGGGACTGGGTGTGTCTTGCAGGCTTGGGGGAGAGGGGAATGGCTTCGGACTTACAGCACAGCTGTGCCCTGGCTCATCAGATCAGCCAAGGTGAGTTTCTCAGACTTTAAACTGTGTGTTGAAAGCCAATCTTCCGAGTCTTTCCAGTCTGAAGGCTGGGTCTCATCTCCCTGCAGCCTCTGCGAGACCGAAGTGAGAGTCAAACAGAAAACAGTGGAAAGAGAGGGCAAGGTGGAGGGTGCTTTTGGTACCCTCCTCATGGATCCCCAAGGGTTGTCAGCCCTGATGGGTCCTACATGAGAGCAGTCTGTTCAAGAACTCACCTTGCTGGGGGAACAGACCAATGCGGGTGCCTGTGCTCTGGGCCAGCTGCCCCTGAAATACTGGTTCCCATCCCTCACCTCACCCCCAGCGTGTGTCTAGATGATTCAAGGATCACTCTTCACATCCTGCCTTGTGAGAGACTGAATATACAAACACACAATGGCTAGATCCTATGTGACAGTAAAACTGACACACGCCTTCTGTAGTGACCAGTCCATGAAGCCAAACCATAATCACTGTAGCAACTGGACCAGAAGGGTCAAGACTCTGGCCAGTGACTGCCAGCTTTCCTACTTTTCATCCCCCTTCCAGCTCAGGACCCACCAGAGAAAGCCACATATGCCCCCAAACCAGTCACATGAGATGCCTGGCTTCCAGTTAGCCCACCTCCAGCTTCTGGAGGCCAACAACCTCCTTCAGGGCACACCCGGAGCCTTCTCGTTTTTCACTATAAAGCCTTCCTGCTCCCCTGCCTGCCTTTGACTCTCTGCCAAACCCAGGTGATGGTGGCTGACTCCTTGCCATAGCAAGCACATTATAAATGCCTCTGTTCTCATTTGTGTCATTTTTTTTTGGTTTATTTCCATGTCTGCACTCTCCGTATCCACCCAAGTGCGTGAGTTCTGCCTCCCTATCAGTGAAACATTTGTTGGCAGGTGGAAGGAGGAATGGGTTTTCCTGTCCACTCCAGAAATAGAAGCAGAGGATAAACGTTTCAGCAAAAGCATCTCCTAGCCACCACAGGAGTCTGGCCATGAAATGGACAAGCCCCCTTGCTTCTGCCTAGTGACGCGAGTGTCACTTACACAGTGCTAAGCTCAGGATGTGGGTGTGGCCTTGGTGGTGGAGCAGAGTCGTTCATGGCAAGCATTCACCATTGGTGATACATTCCGGGAGCCAGAAGGTGGAGGGAGCTGACCTGAGGTGCTGAGCTCACTTCACCTTGTTCTGAGCTTTGCTGTGAACTAGCACAGGACCTGCCAGGGCTACAGTATGAACAAGATAGAAATGTTCTGGCCTTCTTGGAGCTTACACTCTAGTGTGGGTAGACGGTCAGTAAAGAAAACAGAAAAATCAATGTACATGATTTCAGAAAGGAACAATTCTATTAAGAAAGTGGAGGGGGGAAGGTATAGCTCAGTGGTAGCGTGCATGCCTAGTATACATGAGGTCCTGGGTTCAATCCCCAGTACCTCCACCAAAAAAAAGAAGAAGAAAGTGGAGCAGAGGAATGTGATAGCAAGTGATGAGAGTGGAGATGGGGAGGTCACTTTAGCTGAGGTGGGGGTCAGAGAAGGCCCCTCTGAGCCGAGATCTGAAGGTGTAGGAGGAGCCAGCCCCGTGCATAGCTGGGAACACACAGTCCAGGCAGAGGAGCGCACAGGGGCAGGGGCAGAGTGTTGGGAGAACAGAGAGGGGGCCACTGTGGTGGGAGCATAGGGAATACAGGGTAGGTATGACGTGAGAGGAGACTGGAAAGGTGTGCAAGGCCCAGGTCAGGCAGGGATTCTGCAGGAGCTTCAGGCACAGCCATCACTGTTCATGTAATCTCGGTGGGCCTTAACTGTTGCTGGAGTTGGCCGTGACTGGCTGAGGGTGTGGAACGGCATTGTAAGGAGGCCAGCTCAGTCCCACAGTGAGAAAATTAAGTAATTCGAAATATAGAGAATTAAGCAATTTGTCCAAAGTCACATAGCTATTAAGTGGTAGAGTTGGGATGGTCACGCTCATAACCACATCATACTCAAAATCACAATACTATACTGCCTTTAAATTACCCACAGTGAGAGAAACTGCCCTGCAGCATCTGACGACTGGAATGCGCACCACATTTAGGGCCATGGCTTTGCTTGTCCCCAGTGCACCTGCTGGAACCCCGAGTGGGTATTGCTTGGGCTCGTGTTTGTCAGGCTATCACTGGACAGGGTGAGGTGGTGGTCAAGGGGTTGAAACCATCTGCTGTAGCTGACTGAGCTGCACTAGACAGGATTAGATTGGATAGAGGATGTGGGAGGAGGAAAGGACAGAGGAAGAATGGGCGGGAAGGAGGGAGTGCAGTCCTGGCTCTCCACTAGCTTCCTGATGCGTGACAAGTCATGAGTCCCTTTCTTCACCTGTAAAATGGGTGTGAGGTAGAGAACCCAGCCTTGAGTGTTGCTGCATCACAGTTCTTGACAATGACCCTTAGTTCCCCCTCAGGCTTGGTCATGAAGAAAAAGGTAACAAGCAAACAAGGACAATGATAATAAAACACTGCCCTCATAGTCCAGCCAGATAGTACTGGATGCTTTACGCTCTGTGCCTGAGGTCTGCTCACCCTCTGTTTCAAAAGGAAATTGGCAAGCTTTAAAGAAGCATGAGAACCACTAATAATTAGAGCAAACACCTAAATAGCACTTATTCTGTGTCAAGCACTTTCCATGTATTAACTCATTTAAGTCTGCAGATCAATCTCACTTAACTGACAAAGAAACCGTAGTATAGAGGATTAAGTAATTTGTCCAAAGTCACACAGCTAGTAAGTGGTAGAGCTGGGATGGTCACGCTCATAAGCACAATACTATATTGCCTTTAAATTACCACCAAACTCTGACTGTCTTTGTGAAGGGCACGGTTCTACGCTGATTAAAGTCCAGCCCTCCAACAGCACCCCGGATAATCTTAGCCCCATCCCACACTTAGGGAAACCCTGCGCTGCATCCTGTGGACACTAGATGTCACTCTTCTCATCTCTCAGGTCTCCTTGGTTGACAACGCCAAGCTTGGTAGACCTCTAATTCACCTTTCTTCCATTTTACTTGCCTTTGAAACGATCCATCATGTTTTCGGACGTGGATTTTGTATTACTGATATCTGAAGACCCACTATTAAACACATGATAGATTTTTGACTGCAGAACATACAGATTAGATACTGAAGTGCATGCTTTACGTACAGAACAGTAAGATCTTTGTGATGGGGGGATCCTTTCCCTCTTTCCCGCTATTTGTTGTGAGGCAGAGGCGGCCCTGGTTGTGGCTGATAAACGTAAGAGTGGTCCTTGTACACTTGGGAAGTCATGTATTTGATATGAACATCGGTGAAATAAAGACTCATAGCATCAACATCTAAAGTCATTGAAAGAATCCTTCAGAATCTCAAGGCTCTATTTCCTCATTTCCTTCTAATTAAACTTGCCTTCCCATAAGTGCCAATACTTGAGGAAAACAAAACGTAGCTATTTTCCTGATTGTTTAATTGTCAGCATTAAAACTGTATTGTTTTTGACTGATTATTATTTCAAAGGTATCATCTTTAAACTCTGGTGTAGAATAGGCAGGTGGCTACGGGCCAGGCTTGCACCTGACAACCTCTGATGACAATGGTTTCTATGGCAGAGTGAACTCTGAGTTCTCGACATTCCACGCACCATCACAGGGAGACAGCTCACTGACACATGGAGGGTTATTCTGGTTATTCTAGAAGTGAATTCCCCTGCCATAACTCTTGCTTCCACGGCACTTCCTAAAGCTGACTTTTGGATCTAGATTTTAGGGAACCCTACAAGAAAAACAAATCTCAGGAAGGGGAATTTTGGAATTAAATTCCTTAGTTGTCATGCTTTGATAACATGGACAGAGTCTTCAATGTTTATTGATGTTTAATGATATGGCCGAGAAGGTTATACAAGGTCTTAAACAGCACAGAAATTCTTCAGTCATTTCTAAAGGCAGGGGATTAGAGATGAATGCTTAACTAATCCTATGTGAAGAAAGAAATACCCAGAGTTTAACACATTGTGCTTTTCCTGACCATGATTTATAAGCACTGAGACTCAGTCAAAGTAGTATGGGTTTTTACCAGTAAGTCCTGTGTCTGGTTAACGTGTGTAACTAGTAGTCCATCGTCTAGATTTTGGCCAAGTGCATTGATATTCTTCTGGTTCAGTTGCTTCTTCGGATCTCCGTCGTTGTACCTCCTCATGCTACAAAACACAACGAGGTTGGATCAGTGTCCCAGCACCAGACATTGCCTCCACACTGTCAGGGCTTCCAGAGAGGTTTTTATTTCTGTGCAGTAACTGGGAAGGTTTCCTGTAGACCCTGATAAGATGTGGACTCCGGTTTCATAAGACACTTTATTCTATTGTTCTGGTGGTTAGAAAACTGGAGCGCTCAGGTGTCAGATGAGGCCATGACCATTTTCCCCAGCCTCACTTCAAGGCAGGTATCTCCCCCTTCTCAGCCCCCATGAACAAAATGTTGTTGTTTCCTTTGAAAAACCAGAGAAGATGCTTACCAGTGATTTTCCAGAAATTTTTTATCTTGGCCATGGAAGGCATGAATAGTTTGTGTAGCCATTAGAAAAATGCCCAGTGCTTGTTTTCCTAGGGAGGCAAGAAATACCAGAAAAGCAAAGGATGAGGTCAGCATATAGATAGCAGCCTTGGAGGGTATCTCTGTTCAGCTCAACTTTTCTTTAATTCATCCTTTCAAAAGATACTTATTGGACACCTGCTGGGCATCAGGCTTTGTGTTAGATGCTGAGGATACAGTGGTGAACAAGATAACAAAGGTTTCTCAGCTTCACCACTTGTGACATTTTGGACAGGAAAACTCTTTGTCGTGAGGCTGTCCTGTGCATTGAAGGATTCTCAGCAGTACCCTTGGCCTCTGCCTATCAGATGCCAGTAGCATCCCTGCCCCCTCCCCCATGTTGTAATGGCCAAAGATGTCTCTAGACATCACACAATCATCCCTGGTTGAGAACCACTGAGCTAGACATTGTCCTTGTCCCCGCAGAGCTTACATTCTAGAGAGGGAGACTGATATTAAAAAATTAAACCCAGTAATTATAATTGGTGGGAAGTGCGGTGGAGGAAGTAAACTGGATGATATGATAGAGAGTAATCAGGAAAGGCGTCTACTTCACATAGGTAAGGTGGTCAGTGAAGGTGTCTTTAGAGCTTAGACCTTCTTGAAGGATAAAAAGGAGGTGGCCGTGTTCAGAGTATGGTGAAGGCTGGACTGGGCAGAGAGGACAGCAAGTGACCATAAGGATTTAGAGAAGGGGAAGGGGGGTAGGAAAAATACTGAGATGAGGCTGAGTTCTTTCCTTTGAGAGCTGCACCTGCACTCAAGAGGGTGTGTCCCTGAAGCCTACGCCTCGCAGCATGTGGAACCAGTGGCAGACTGTGCAAGACGGACCAATCAGTCCTCTTTGGGAATTCGGAATAAAGCACCATGGGGCCACCACGTACATTCAGCAGCAGGGAAAGGCTATCTTCAGAGGAAAGTGGAGTGAGAGGTTGTTCCCTCCAGCTTCATCCTCCCTCTGCCTGCTCCTTCTCGGTGTCTTTTGCAGGCTCCTCCTCCTCTACCTGAGCGTTTTAAGCAGGTGTTCCTCAAGGCGGAACCATGCACACTCCTTCTCTCTCTCCTCTTTTCCTGGGCGAGCTTACCCTTGTCCTTGGCTTCAGCTATCACCTGCACATCAGTGACTCCCAACTGTATGTCAAGAGCCCAGACCTCTCACTCTGACTCCAGCCCTGTGTGTTCATGGACACTGGGTGTTTCCACCTCAGTCTCAACATGTGCAAGACTGAATTCATTTTCCCCACAACCCATCCTCTTCTCCTTGTCCCTGGGCTTAGAGTAAAGAGCCACCATCCATCTCCTTTATGAGGCAGAAACCTGGGAATTATTGACACCTCGTTCCCCATTTCCAATCCGTCACCGAATCTTGTTAATCTTACGTCTCTCAAATCTCTCCACTTATTTCTGTGTCCACTGACATTTCTCATGTCTAGGCCACTGTCATCTCTGCCTTAAATGACTGGGATAGACCCTAACTGGCCTCCTGACACCCCCTCAGATTTGAAAACACAAATCCTACCTTTTTTGCTTAAGCTACCTCCTTTAGGTTTCTGTTACTTGCAATAAAAAGTAAAATTGGCTAAAACACAGCAAGTGAGAAACTCCAGATGGATTGCAGCTTGAACATTAGAATGTGTGTTCTTATGAAACCATTAAATTAAATAGCCTTTCTCTTTGGGGTCTTTAATCTTTTATTTAGAGGTGCGTTCTTTTCTGGGAAGCACCAAGGTAATGCGGTAATGTCTCAAAAAAACAACTGGCTCAACTTCAGTATGCTTTGCTGGGAGACTCTCGTGGCAGAGACTGTTGAAATAAAATATCTCATGGGCACTGGATGCCCTACAATGTCTCAGTCCCCTCTTTTCAGTGAGTGATTAACAACTTAAGAATTCAGAGGCTCTCACGACTGGATTCTGGGTGAGTTGCTTGGGCCGAAGCAGGAGTGTTTGGACTGCGTGAAACTAACAAAGCAATGCTGTGTGCTAGAGAGAGCACGGGCCCTTTGGTTTCTTCACCTGCAGAATGGCATGGGGATAATAACTGCCCTGCCTCCTTCAATTCCACCATCAACAGGATCAAATGAAAGCTAGAATGTAGAGTGCAAAGTGCTAGGGGAAGGCAGAATTCCATTTGGAAAAGCTGCCTCATCTTTAAGCCCTTCAGCACCTGACACTTCAGCAACCATTCATTCCATGCACACTTTATAGAGTGCCTGCTGGGTGCCAGAGAGAGCTGGCGCCGGGGACGCAGAGCTGGCCAGCACACGGCCCTTACCCTCAGGCCTCTGCTCAAATGAAACCTTATTAGAGAGGTCTTCTTTGCGTACCTCATCTCGGGTAGTACCCTGTTTTTTCTCTGTAGCACGTTCCATCTTCTGATGCTCTGTGTATTTACTTATTTATGATTTGTCTCTCTCCCTTCTTCCCCCAACCCATCAATCCGCTAGAAGTAAGATCCATGAGGTCAGGGACTTAGGTTCACTGCTAGACCATTTTGTGTAATCAGTGCCTGGAACACAGCAGCAGCTCAAAAAACATTTGTTGAATAAATGCACTCAGGGCAGGTCCAGAGTTTAGACAAAGGTGGGCTGTGTTACCTTGGGAGACTGGTCACAGGAGAGGGAGAGAACATGCAAACTGGTCCTTAGGAGACGGCGTCTTGTCAAAGGGAGAGAGGTAGCCCTGATTAGTGGATAAAAGAAAACATTCAGCTAACTTCCTGGTTTGGTAACAACTGGATCTAGGGTTCTACTAAATATCCAGGATACATCCACCCCCAGGGTTTGTATTTTTAACCTCTAGCCTTGCCGCATTTCACAATCTGTTGCTAGAATGATTTTCCTGATATGCAGAGTTGTTCGTATTGCTATCTGTTTAGAACGCTGCCATGGCCTCTCAGTGCCATGGACACTTCATAAGGCTTATCATTCCTTCCAGGTTTGTTCCTAGCTCACCTCTCACCTCATCCTGCGTCCTTCTCCTGGTAACCCTACACATACCTTGCTATTTCATACCTGTCTTTGCTCAGGTTGAATCTTCTTCTAGAAATGCCCTTTGCCCTGTCTGTTTGACAAGAAAATCCAGGAAGTCTTTCCTGAATCCCATTTGCTGTCCCTCAACCTCCATGGAGGAAATCATTTCCTCCCATTGCCGCTCCCTGGCTGTTTCATACCAAGCTGTCATGGTCCTTCTCCAGAGCAGACCCATTTCTTCCTAGTCTACTGTTGTATCCCCAGCACCTAGCATAATGCCTGGGATGTAGACAGTAGATGCTTAAGACCCCAGCTCCCTAAATCTTTCTCCCTCAGTCCACAGCTTAGGGCCTGGGACTCCCCC